AGTGTGCTTTACTGGATAAAAATTGTAAATAAAACACATAATTTTGACGAGCGTATCTTATTAAACAAAAGTTACAATGAAATTCGAAAATGGGATTCGAAAAGTTATTTTGTAAATGTAACTAGTCACAATTCTTTTGTCTCAAAAAGTAATCAGTTACCAATTTTGAAAAATATCACGTTACAGTTATCTAAAAAATAACTAGTCGTTACTTTTCAATTATTTTTCTGTTAATTTTTTCTAGTTTTTTTTGCATTTCTATTTTTAATATAAGAATCTCATACATTTCTAACACTAAATTATTCTGCTTATTTACTAAACATTCAATTATGCGTCAAATTACTTATAAGAAATTAACATACACTTGAAGTCAAAATTAAATCAATCAATGGACATGTTTATATATCTACTAAAAAGATCCTAATTTCATTCTTAATACAAAAAATATTTGCAGATGATTATTAGAGATAAAAATGTATTCCAATTAATTACAAGGAATAATCACTAATTATTCACTAAGCACTTCATTTTGATCAATCCAGTTGATAAATAAATTTAACATGAAGCTGTAAAAGTAACTATTAAATTAATTATTAGTCATACACACACACATAAAAAAATGTAATTAACAAGTTAAGTTACAGTTATAGATGGAAATTAAGTTACTGAAAAAAAGTAACTGTAACTGTAACTTTATTACAAGTAACGAGTTATTTCCCTGCAATGAAAGACATAACTTTGTGAGCATGTCTAATTTGGCGTGGAAATTAGCTGTTTCGAACATAATCATTTTGATGATTCAACAGAATTATTTTCAGAATTATTTTTATAACTAAAGATTTATAGCTAAATTTTTAGACCCTTCAACAAAATCATATTTTCCGTATTAGTTCCTTAAGTTGGGGCAATTAGACCACATGGAAGTATACATACTTTTTTAGTGTCTGTTCAAATTAAAACTAACTTTGTTATATAAAGTACACCTTACGCTACAAAAACGTCTCGCATAAAACACTATACTTTTATCCATATATACCTATACATATAAAAAAATAAGAATAAAAAAGCCATTTTTTCGGATAAACTAATTTTCTACGAGAACTTCAAGACAGTCTTCGACAGTTCGAACCTACCTCAAGGTTTCACGAAACACCACACGGAACAGAACCGGACGACACGCGCGCGTACAGAAACTTAAAGATAACTCCCGAAACTAATCGAAAGGATTCATTGACGAGAACAACCGCAATCTACGAGCACATTGCACAGAGGGAACCCGGCAACAAACTCACGATATGAAAATTCTAATCCGGCACGCGCACGGACGCGACGCAGTGACGTTACCGACGAGTTAGCGTGAACTTACGCGACAAGCGAGAACGGAGGGGCTTTCCCCTCTTTCTCGCTCTTGTCTGCCCTTGAAACTTTTGGTCTACGTGCCTGACCCCCGTTTACCCGACACCGAACGGAGAGAACTGCCCTTGATGGCCCGACAGGGAAGGCCCGGACGAAGCGACGTCGACGGTAGCGTAGAAGGAAAGCGATGGAGGAGTTGCGGAGGAGGCTTCGAACGAGAGATCCACGAATGGTGCTGGGTGGTGGGGTGTTCTCTAAACGAACCGTGCAGCGTTCGTTCTCCTCTCCAGGAAAGGAAGGAGGGGAACGACGGTGGAGGACACGGTCGCGGCGCCAGTGAACTAAACGGACGGACGGACGGATGGATGGATGAACGCACGCCCATGGCTGATTGTTCTCCGATCTCATGAATTTCAAGGACGTCTACGCCAAACCGGCTAGGGAGGGATGGCAACGACGAGGGTGGGGAAAGTAGGCGGGGGCGGGGAATCGAGGTTTAGAAATCCTCTTTCTTTCATCCCATCTATTGTCCGTGTCTTCCCGTCCGTGTCTTTTTCTACATATACCTCACACTTTCGGCAATACTTGAAAAGTAACTTTAATCGTTTGTTATAATTTTCGAGATGTTTTTATACGGTACGGTTAAATAACGTAGGAATATCGTATCACTCGTACCTGGGCCACCAACTTTAAGATTCGCCTCGTTAAGAAATGGTAACGTATCCTTCACAGATTGAAATTTGGAACAGAAATCTGAAAAGAGGAAGGACACGACACAAAAGAGCTCATTATTCAAAACGTATTTCACTGAGTTTACTTGAATAATCGTTTAATAGATCAAATCACGAAACAGAATAGCTAAAGGATTCACTCGTTCGCGCATTAAGCCGGTTTCAAGCTTGAAATCAACGCTTCATATTGGCTGTCGCAACAAACTTGCGCTCAGCTTGCAACTAATGTAGAACCAGCTTTAAGCATTGCTAGCTTCCGTCAAGACAATGAGCTGTCGCTAACTGTGTGAAGCGAGCGATGGAATTCGATTATATCCAGAACTCCTTCCTTAGACAAGGGAACAACGAGGGAGAGCATGCCTACTAAATGCGCGATTTCGCTCCCCCTTCGGACCTTTGACATTCTCTGTTACAAGATGATACGTTATAAAGAAAGAGAGAAGACCTTTCAAAATATTCAATACAACATGGAATAAAAACTGGCCGTTCGCCAGACACGAACGTAGCTCCAGAAAGGTAACTGTGTATGACACAACTTTGACGAAAGCACAACCCAAGTTATTATAATTAGAAAAAGAGAATCTACAGAAATCTGATGCTTTTATAAACTTACGTTAGATGTCATAAAAATTTTTTCCTTCCTCGTATTATTTTAATAATGTCGATTATCTTCGTGTCAGATTATTATCGTTAAATAACGCTTCTACGCCACCGTTTTCATTCGTATGATGGTACTTTGTTCGTATGATGGTACTATACACACATAAACACACATATAGTGTGTATATGCATTATAATGGAAGGAAAGAAGACAAATTTTCGTCTTACTTTCACTCAATCGCGCTCACATGAATATTCGGCCACAACCAGAAAAAAAAATATAAAGTGGCAACTATGAAAATGATAATTATATGAGTTTTGCATGTAAAATTAATGTACATCTTAGTGATCAACTCAAATCAGTCCCAAATTAGGAGGGACAGTCCCAAATTTTATTTATTTTTCTTCGTCCCATTTTACATCCCAAACTTTGTCTCGAATTGAGGATACGATTATAATGTAAATTATTCCCCTTTTAAAAATATTAAATACGAAATAATAAGTAAACAATAAAACGCTTGTTACATTGCATAGCAATACATAAACAAATTTAAAAGAAACGACCGAAAAAAAACGAGTAAAAAACAAAGATGTAAAAAAAAATACTTAAATAATTACACATTTTGAATTTACATAAGCAATTCGACTTCACAGAGTCTTTTTCAAAATCTACATAGAAGCTAATCTAACTTATTATTATTATTATTATTCAACAGAGAATAAAATGTTACAAATATGCATGCAAAAGTCGTCTGAGCTACAACAAGAGACTAAATCAGTTTAAACAAATTTTCCATAATAAAATATATAAAGCATTATCCAGTCTAAAATTTTGGTCTCTTATCGTTAACATCCTCCAAGGATGAATGATAATAAGTAAAAGTAATAAGAATGAGATATATTTTCAACTATATATGTGAAGAATTTTATGATTTTTTTAATTTTAACAAAAGATATTATTCATAAAATATATTCAGAAAAGTATAATTTTAAAAAATAAAATGTGATGTCGTAACTTGACGTAATTTTGGTTGTGCGATGTTATACATTAAATGTTATTAATTATTTACAAATATAATAACATATTACTGTTTTTTCTTTAACAATTATTTAAAAATGTTTATCTATTAAAATTTAATTACAATTATTATTGAATTTTTTTAAATGCTCCTCTTTGCCTTTTTAAGGAGTCGGTCATCTTAATGTAATTTAATTGAACATAATTGAATAAAAACTAATGTTTAGCAAAATATATATTATATATATATATATATATATATAATTTCACAAAAATATTTTTTTAATTCGGAGATTAGACTATGAAGATTATTCTTATGCATTTTGACGTTCTGAATCCGTCCAGATTGTTCTATCACATTATAATTTTTTTATCGACGAAAAATAATTCGATTTTCTAATATTTTTAATCTATCTTGCATACCATCTTTGAATTTACTTTTTCTTTTTTACTCAGTTTGTATATTAAACACCAGGCCATAAATGACTCTATAAAAGTAACGGAAAATGGATCTATTTTCCATCGATAAAAAAAATTGTGACGTGTTTGGACATCATTTGATTTTAGAATTTTATATATCAAAATATATAAGAATATCATGTTCCTATTTCCGAATCAAGCATTAAATGTTCTTTGTGTTATTAAGGGAACCCTAAAGTCATCTGTATTATCAACTAAACCATATAATTTTTGTGTAATAATTTTTTTCCTCTTTTACTGATTCAAAAATCCTTTTCCGGGATTAAAATATACGCATTAATATGTGTCTGTGAAGTGGAATTTATGTCGAGAATGTCAAAAAATTTCAAAATTGAAATCTTCTTTACCATTTTTTAGTTCAATATAGTTATAATTACAAAATAGTAATCTACAGACTAGTAATTCGCGAAGAAACAACGTGGAGTTCTTAGAATTGTAGTTAGACGTTTAATTAAAACGTTATTGTTATACAAAAATTTATGTGTGTGGCAAGTGTGAATGAGATATTGATGTAATGATATACAATGTGTCAATGATACGTAAATCATCTGTGCAAGTGCTATTTACAATGTCTAATCGTCTTTAGGTTCTCCTTAATTCTAGAATTAATAATAATATAATTATTAATTCTATAAATAAAACTGCAATGGTTATTACTTTTATAATATTTCTTTGAGTGCAGGAATCTCGAAAAATCTCATGAATCCTTCCACATTCAATCAGGTAAAAACTTGCATATAATTTATAAATACCTTCAGTATACATAGCGTCACAGATGCCTTACACAAAGTTGCACGAGTATTAGAGAAGGGATGAGAAGAAAGCATGAGAAAGAATGAGAAGGCATGAAAAGACATTTGTGTTGAGACAAGGCGTGTGTCCTTTTTTTTATCTATTTTTTATCTATTTTATCTCTATACCTCTACGTGGACATGTCATAAACAAAAAAAAGTTGAAACTACAAATTTCAATTTTCTAAGTTATCAAAGAACCACTAAAAGCGCTGAAGGCACTGAACGTGGAACCTTCGGTTTTATCTCTATCTCTATACATACACTACTCGGCATGCGTTTCTCAGTGTGCGCACGCGCGATGACGTACTGGCGGAGGAATTCCGTGCAGCATAGCGTGATGCTCCCCGAAGCGCAACCGCGGCGACCGCAGCGACATGCATCGCGAAACGGTTCGCGAGAGAAGCAAGCAAGTAGCACGACGACATTCCAATTAGAGAAGCTCGTTTCCCGTTCGAATCTCAATCGCACGTGCGCCGGCTCCGCTCAGTTTCTGCGATCACGCAGGTATATGCAAGCTTTCTTTCTCTTCGCTAATATTCATAAGTTAATAATAGGAAATAAAAGAAATAACAGACAACTAATAAAAAGATAATGAAATTTCGCTAGGTTAAGAATAGATTAATTAACAATGGCGAATTATATTTCCTCCTATATGTCCTTCTTATTGTTAGTTCGTTAGAGCAATATTTATCTGATATTTTCTAGTATCAGATTTATAAGACGAAAGCGCCATATTGACGCTATTCTATTTTTCATATTTTTTTCTGTAATCTCTACGTGTTGTTCTTATCAAGAAGCTATGCATTATCTCTGTGGCTAGATCCATTGTTAGAATGCTAAAGTTTCATGAATATTACAGTTCACTTTTTCAGCTAAAGAAACAGCCTGATACTAAGCTGCTTTTTTGATATGATTTCCTTTATATACGCTATTCAGAACTTAAACATATACAATAAGATTGGAAATAAGACCGTTTATGTTAAATAATATTACTTTAAAATACGAAACGCTACTACGGTCTGAGTGTTGAGATGTTGAACTAATATATATATTCATATAAATGAAATTAATTTCAGAAATGATAATTACGTGCCGATATGATTGTCGAACTTTCAATTATTTAAACATATAGTTTCTTTATGTAGAATATATGTATATATATTATTTCTATTATATGTATTATACCGAAACATAGCTGTTTTATAGAAAATATCCGTGACCTCAAAAGTATTGTCAAATATCTCTACGAAAAGTATCCTTGCTACTGTAAATAGCTTTCTAGATGTTTTTATCGTTAATACTCGTATTGTCGGATTTCTAATAATACTAAAATTAACATTAAGTAGCTACCAGTGACTACATATATCCTCGCAACTGAAAACTTACACCTCATCTACATATAATACTAATAAGCCTTATTCGCACTTTACCGTTTGTGTATACAATACTTATTTGATTCTGAAAATTTTATATATTTTTTTTAATTATTTACTTTTTGACGTCAAAAACATCTTAGGTTCATGAAAATTTATTTTTACAATTGTCAAATCATATTGAATCTACCATTTTGTATTTCAAATTTTTGGTGTCAAATTTTAATTCAGTGATCTCAAAAATCTTTTACAACAAATCTTTAAAAGATTGATCCATTATTTTTAAATTGATAATATCATGTAGTGGAAATCACTAATAGCTCTGAAACAATGTCGTATTTTAAGGCAAAAAATACAATGAATTATAATAAATTTTATTTAAAGAAAAAATATACCCATCCGCCCTCTAAAAGGATTAAATTCTCATTAATAAACAATAGAATCAATATATTCAAATGAGTCTAAAAATATATTATAAATAGGAATTAAATCTTTCTAAAGAAAAGTTTACATTTTGAATGCAAAGTATCTTATATGATGGATCTCTTATACATTTTAAATTCGAGATCAGTGAGCTCTATAACATACTGGAGCGACCATCAAAGAGTAGGGGTGTCTCAATTTCTAAAATAAGGACACTCTAATGCAAAGTTGGTAGTGTCTGAGTTGTTCTTTGTCAGAGATTCGCTAATTGGCTAATGCTATTTTACTATCACAAGTAGAAAAGACTAAAGTCAGAAAGACCAATATTGTTTGTCTTTCTTTTCTTCGGGCTGCAGTTTTCAATAGTTTAGTATAAGGAAGGCTCGTTCAGTTATATTATAAAGCTTACTAATTGAGATCGGATCGCGCGATGATAACGATCTGGCGGCATAAGGAAAAAAAATCAGAAATTTCATTCGAGCTGCAGTGCATTCTTAGAAAAATGACTCGCGATAAACAGAGACAGACATTATAACTGTGCAGGTGCGTATTACTAATATCATCAACGACACCATTTCGCCGATTCAGGCAAAATACTGATCGCATGATCAGTAATACGCAGGGCGTCCTATGCAGAAAGAACGAGTTTGCTAAAAAAATCTAAAAATTTAATTGGATACGGATCTGAAAACATTTTGTGAGCTATTAGAATAATACACTGTTCGACAAAAAAATCACTTTTTTTCTCTTCAAAGTGCAAATAGATAATATCCCAATTTTTTCACGCTAAACATAATGTCATTGATCAAATTGATCTTTGGCTCACTTTATTCAAGTTTACTAAAAATCCTAACGTACTACACAAATTCTGATGACGGCATCAGATACAATGTAAAAAAATAATAGTATGTAAAACCCAAAACGAGTTTCATGGCAAAATATTTCTTCTACAAGACACATATAGTCATACAAGAAATATATAGTAAAGTCTGATAGATACGTAGCTTCACCACAAATGAGGCGTAAATGAGTTAGCTTGTCACTCCTGTCGTCCCTTAAACCTCAGGAATTGTAGATAAAATTACACTTCCGTATGTGCGAATTATATACAAGGTGCTTTCCAATGCTTTCCAATTGCTTAACATATCTTGATACAAACGTAGCAAATTCACATATTTTTGGTGTTAATAATAAAATATAATTAATAATTAAACCCTCTTAATTTACAACATATTCTTTGTTACCTAACTTTATACCCTTACATAACTTTATACCCTTAAAAGAATTAAATTATTATCACTGAAAATATTTAAATCGATTCAATTACACTAATTGCCGTAATCGCTGGCACAGATGAATACCGACTAGTAGCCCTCGGGCTGAGTACGGGTGTAGTGTTGTATCGACGATTACGACAATTGATGCAAATGAATGCAAATCGATTTATACATTTTCAGTGTTAATAAATAATTTGATCTTTTTAAGGTTATGAGATTATCGTGACAAAAGAATATGTAATTAAAAAAGTTAAATTATTTATTAGCACTGAAAATATTAGGTGTTGGAATTAATTCGTAGCGTTTTTAAAGTGATGGGAAGTACTTTCATTAATGTATTTTTTAATGCTCATGTGAAATAAATAACATTCTTTCATTAAAAACGCTACGAATTAATTCCAACACCTAATATGTGAATTTATTTGCTACATTTGTATCAAAATGTATTAAGCAAGCAGCCATCTCTCTCAAATTTAGCAGAGGATATTGCCACACATAACTCCAGCAAAAATGTATATTTTTCGACAAATATATTTCAGAGGAATTCTACACATTAAATATAATTCTAGAATCAAAATTGAAATGTGTTGAATTGCAAAATGCAAAATAAATGTTAAAATAAAGAAAAATTTAAGAATGTAAATGTTTATAGTAGAATTTTCATTGTTTTACAGACTAATGAGATTTTACGTTAAAAAAAAAGACATAATGGTAATAACTATAAAAATAACAACTATACAAGTTTTATGTATATAGAATTAATGTACATAGCTTTTTATATAGTTGCAATAATTATAAAATAATTTATTCAACCATATACAGGGTGAATCAAAATCGTTGAATCAGCTTTTTATCCTATGAGAAAATAATTGACTGCACATGTTATAATTCATTAATTAGATATGGAATCGATAATTTTCTCATAGGATAAAAAACTAGTTCAACGATTCTGATTCACCTTGTATATGCATATTAGTTTATTCATAACTACATACATTAATTCTAAATATAAAACTTACATAGTATTTACTTTCAATATTATCTTTATTTTAATTGCTCTATCACTTTTTCTCTAAGTATAGGATTAAATTATCAATTATCTGCACAATTTGATAAAATTTCACAAATAAATATGTCACCTACTTCTTTTTCAAAATTACATAGATTAGAGTTTAGGAAAATCTAGGAATTTCCTTATTTATCGATATAAAGGAAATATTTCTCGGAAAACTTGCATTTTATTAATACTGATCTATTTAGATAATTATTAAGAAAGTAAAAACTCATAATTCATACATTTGTGGCTTGTTTCTATACAAAATTGGCTAAAAATGAATTCTACAAATATGAAAATAAAATTCTTGCGAATTTTTTTGCAAATCTATACTTTAAATAATAATGGTTTTAATTATTCATAATATTACATCGTAATTTTACATGTGTGTAGTTTCTTAAATTAGTTTTATTATAATATATCTTTTTCTTTCTTTCTTATTTACACAAAATCGGGGTAAAGCAACATACTTGTCGATAAGACAGTCTATAAACTAATTTTTATATTATAATGATGCGTTATAGTGTCAAATAGCCTTATGGGAACTGAAAGCAATATCGTGTACTTATAGGAAAATTCTCAAAAAATGAAACTGTTGCGTTATATATTATTTGCGTATTGTAGAATGGCATAAATATATAATGCATATGAATAAACAAAAAATGTTTTTCATATCAAAATGAAAAATTTCTAGAAAATTTTATATATGTTCCGTTGTAGATATTTTCTACAGATGACTTTTGTGAAAGAAAAAGAATAGGAATATCTTATTACTTACTGTGTCAGTTTTGAGGCCTATTTTATCAAACGTTATGATATCTGCTTATCTTATGAAAAAATTAATTTTGCAAAATTGCAAATAGTATTATAAAAACTGCTATATTATTTGACATAGAAGACATTTTCTAATTTGTATTTATATATTTCTAAAGTTTTATTTTTAGCTCTTGTTTAAGAAATATTGTTCAAAAACAAAGTAATTGTTTATCAGTGACTTTCCTGTATTATCAGTAAACAGCATATAAATAAATCAGTTAAATTTTCATCTTTAACTCATCGAATCAAGAATATAATTGCATATTTAAAGTTGCAAAAACGTTAACTATTTTAATTTGAAATTACTTTGACGTGAAAGAATTTACATTAATTCTCTTGTAATACAAATGTAGCGGTGACTAAAAGCACCTCGCGAATAATTCCGCAATGCGATCTCTATTCAAATTAACGAGATATATCTACATTAAAGCAACGAATAGAAACGACACTTCCTCGGTCTTCTCTCGCGAATTTTCCGGCACGTCGACGTCTTCGAACGTTGTCGCCACGAGGCGAAACTAAGCGCGTGAAAGTCTAATCAAACATGTCCATTGCCGAACG